TGACGTGTCTCCAGTCAGTGTCTGACGTGTCTGTTGTTTTGACGTGTCTCTAGTCAGTGTCTGACGTGTCTGTTGTTTTGACGTGTCTCTAGTCAGTGTCTGACGTGTCTGTTGTTTTGACGTGTCTCTAGTCAGTGTCTGACGTGTCTCCAGTCAGTGTCTGACGTGTCTCTAGTCAGTGTCTGACGTGTCTCTAGTCAGTGTCTGACATGTCTGTTGTTTTGACGTGTCTCTAGTCAGTGTCTGACGTGTCTCCAGTCAGTGTCTGACGTGTCTCTAGTCAGTGTCTGACGTGTCTCCAGTCAGTGTCTGACGTGTCTCTAGTCAGTGTCTGACGTGTCTCTAGTCAGTGTCTGACATGTCTGTTGTTTTGACGTGTCTCCAGTCAGTGTCTGACGTGTCTCCAGTCAGTGTCTGACGTGTCTCTAGTCAGTGTCTGACGTGTCTCCAGTCAGTGTCTGACGTGTCTGTTGTTTTGACGTGTCTCTAGTCAGTGTCTGACGTGTCTCCAGTCAGTGTCTGACGTGTCTGTTGTTTTGACGTGTCTCTAGTCAGTGTCTCCAGTCAGTGTCTGACGTGTCTGTTGTTTTGACGTGTCTCTAGTCAGTGTCTGACGTGTCTCTAGTCAGTGTCTGACGTGTCTCCAGTCAGTGTCTGACGTGTCTGTTGTTTTGACGTGTCTCTAGTCAGTGTCTGACGTGTCTCCAGTCAGTGTCTGACGTGTCTGTTGTTTTGACGTGTCTCTAGTCAGTGTCTGACATGTCTGTTGTTTTGACGTGTCTCCAGTCAGTGTCTGACGTGTCTCCAGTCAGTGTCTGACGTGTCTCTAGTCAGTGTCTGACGTGTCTCCAGTCAGTGTCTGACGTGTCTGTTGTTTTGACGTGTCTCTAGTCAGTGTCTGACGTGTCTCCAGTCAGTGTCTGACGTGTCTGTTGTTTTGACGTGTCTCTAGTCAGTGTCTGACGTGTCTCCAGTCAGTGTCTGACGTGTCTGTTGTTTTGACGTGTCTCTAGTCAGTGTCTGACGTGTCTCTAGTCAGTGTCTGACGTGTCTCCAGTCAGTGTCTGACGTGTCTGTTGTTTTGACGTGTCTCTAGTCAGTGTCTGACGTGTCTCCAGTCAGTGTCTGACGTGTCTGTTGTTTTGACGTGTCTCTAGTCAGTGTCTGACATGTCTGTTGTTTTGACGTGTCTCTAGTCAGTGTCTGACGTGTCTCTAGTCAGTGTCTGACGTGTCTCCAGTCAGTGTCTGACGTGTCTCTAGTCAGTGTCTGACGTGTCTCTAGTCAGTGTCTGACATGTCTGTTGTTTTGACGTGTCTCCAGTCAGTGTCTGACGTGTCTCCAGTCAGTGTCTGACGTGTCTCTAGTCAGTGTCTGACGTGTCTCCAGTCAGTGTCTGACGTGTCTGTTGTTTTGACGTGTCTCTGGTCAGTGTCTGACATGTCTCTAGTCAGTGTCTGTTGTTTTGACGTGTCTCTAGTCAGTGTCTGACATGTCTGTTGTTTTGACGTGTCTCTAGTCAGTATCTGATGTGTCTCCAGTCAGTGTCTGACGTGTCTGTTGTTTTGACGTGTCTCCAGTCAGTGTCTGACGTGTCTCTAGTCAGTGTCTGACGTGTCTCCAGTCAGTGTCTGACGTGTCTCCAGTCAGTGTCTGACGTGCCTCTAGTCAGTGTCTGACGTGTCTGTTGTTTTGACGTGTCTCTAGTCAGTGTCTGACGTGTCTCCAGTCAGTGTCTGACGTGTCTGTTGTTTTGACGTGTCTCTAGTCAGTGTCTGACGTGTCTGTTGTTTTGACGTGTCTCTAGTCAGTGTCTGACGTGTCTCTAGTCAGTGTCTGACGTGTCTCTAGTCAGTGTCTGACGTGTCTCTAGTCAGTGTCTGACATGTCTGTTGTTTTGACGTGTCTCTAGTCAGTGTCTGACGTGTCTCCAGTCAGTGTCTGACGTGTCTCTAGTCAGTGTCTGACGTGTCTCTAGTCAGTGTCTGACATGTCTGTTGTTTTGACGTGTCTCTAGTCAGTGTCTGACGTGTCTCCAGTCAGTGTCTGACGTGTCTCTAGTCAGTGTCTGACGTGTCTCCAGTCAGTGTCTGACGTGTCTGTTGTTTTGACGTGTCTCTAGTCAGTGTCTGACGTGCCTCTAGTCAGTGTCTGTTGTTTTGACGTGTCTCTAGTCAGTGTCTGACATGTCTGTTGTTTTGACGTGTCTCCAGTCAGTATCTGACGTGTCTCTAGTCAGTGTCTGTTGTTTTGACGTGTCTCTAGTCAGTGTCTGACGTGTCTGTTGTTTTGACGTGTCTGTTGTTTTGACGTGTCTCTAGTCAGTGTCTGACGTGTCTGTTGTTTTGACGTGTCTCCAGTCAGTGTCTGACGTGTCTCCAGTCAGTGTCTGACGTGTCTCCAGTCAGTGTCTGATGTGTCTCCAGTCAGTGTCTGACGTGTCTCCAGTCAGTGTCTGACGTGTCTGTTGTTTTGACGTGTCTCTAGTCAGTATCTGACGTGTCTCCAGTCAGTGTCTGACGTGTCTGTTGTTTTGACGTGTCTCTAGTCAGTGTCTGACGTGTCTCCAGTCAGTGTCTGACGTGTCTCTAGTCAGTGTCTGACGTGTCTCCAGTCAGTGTCTGACGTGTCTCCAGTCAGTGTCTGACGTGTCTCTAGTCAGTGTCTGACATGTCTGTTGTTTTGACGTGTCTCTAGTCAGTGTCTGACGTGTCTCCAGTCAGTGTCTGACGTGTCTGTTGTTTTGACGTGTCTCCAGTCAGTGTCTGACGTGTCTGTTGTTTTGACGTGTCTCTAGTCAGTGTCTGACATGTCTGTTGTTTTGACGTGTCTCTAGTCAGTGTCTGATGTGTCTCTAGTCAGTGTCTGTTGTTTTGACGTGTCTCTAGTCAGTGTCTGACGTGTCTGTTGTTTTGACGTGTCTCTAGTCAGTGTCTGACGTGTCTGTTGTTTTGACGTGTCTGTTGTTTTGACGTGTCTCTAGTCAGTGTCTGACGTGTCTGTTGTTTTGACGTGTCTCTAGTCAGTGTCTGACGTGTCTCTAGTCAGTGTCTGACGTGTCTGTTGTTTTGACATGTCTCCAGTCAGTGTCTGACGTGTCTCTAGTCAGTGTCTGACGTGTCTGTTGTTTTGACGTGTCTCTAGTCAGTGTCTAATTTATCTGTTGTGATTGGTCCTCGCAGCAGTCTAGTAGACCTTCTAACACGGTGGCTCAGTCCTCTGGGGGCGGTATCTGGGCGGTTCTGGGCACGCTCCTCTACCCTCTGCTGGCTGTGTGGAGATTCCTCAGCTCCTTCCTGTTTACAGCCCCGCCCCCTCCTGGAACGTCATCCAGAGACCCCGTCCAGCACCAGTCCAACTCCTACTCAAACTCCACAGCAACATCGGACAAAACAAAGCGGTAAGGTGGAACTGCTTTGTGTGTGTGTGTGTGTGTGTGTGTGTGTGTCTGTGTGTGTATTTATGATACATGTGTCTTCCCCCAGGGAAACTCTGTCCAAACACTCGGTGGAGAAGCGTCCCAGAGACTTCAAGAAAGACGGTAAAGTTTGCCGTCTGAGGACTCAGGAGGACAGCGAGGACGACAACAACACCTGGAACGGGAACTCCACCCAGCAGATGTAGCGCCCCCCTCAGGCTTTGTGTTGTAATAGTTCAGTCTGATCCTTATCTTCTCCTCCTGTGTTCAAGGCTCTGCTCCATGCTTGTTCATTAAATCAATAATCATTTATTGATCCTCTCTGGGCTCAGGGTCAGGGTAAGACTGTGTCTGATCCTGGTTTACCCTAGACCGGCTCAGGTAACAGCACAGTCAGAACCAACCAGGTCCAAACAAGTCTATGTAAACCCGGTCTATGTAGCCCTGGTCTATGTTTAACTGGTCTATGTAGACCAGGTCAATGAATACCAGGACTATGTGAACCAGGCCTAACTCTCTATAATGCTCTGCTGTCAGTGACCTTTGACCTACCTGTTGTAATGTGAGCCAGCTGATGGAGTCTCTCTGATCGTTCAACTTTGAACTCACCAGGATGATTACCTGACCTTTGACCGTTTTGTTTAACATGTTTTATCACACACACACACACACACACACACACACACACACACACACACACACACACACACACACACACACACACACACACACACACACACACACACACACACACACACACACACACACACACACACCTGTTGGTACCAACAGTGGATGGCTTGTGTAGATCTAATTAACTATGAAAAATAAAGCAGCGTGTTTTTCACAAAGTCTGAGACGTGGTGTTTTTTGGTTAACTTAACTAGTTATTGGTTAACTTTAATAGAACTCTAACTAGTTATTGGTTAACTCTAACTAGTACTGTGTGGATCATCTCTTGATAAGGAGGGTCAATGGAGAGCAAACCAAAGAGTTCATTGATGACATTTAAAATAACTGACAAACTAACATTGACTCGTTACAGTCCTTTATTTATTTTGCTTAAACATATGTTTCATGATGAAAAAAACTGTAGAATAAGTACAACAAAGAGGATTATGTCACTCTCCCAACTTTCCACACTTTGTGTCGTCTGTAAATTTAAAGCTCTGACATCGTTGAATCCGTACAGCTGAAGGGTTCACAACAGAGTTCAACATACCCAGTCTTTCTCTGAGTAGGGGTTATGGTTAGTAATGATCACAATGCTGGTTTCTGATCATTGATGGTCTGGACTGGAGGGGGTCAGATTATATTCATCACCTTAACATCATGTCCTACTTTGACTACATTGCCTTTGGCTGTATTGACATAACATCATAGTTCCAGTTTGTTAAAAGTATTACATCTTAAACTGGTCCCTTCCGTTAAAGAAGTTTTTATGCACAATCTGCTCTGACCTCCGCCTCAGTGGCAAGGAAGTGTGGACAACATGAACGAGAGGAAAACAAAGGAGAAATCCTTCCTGCATATTATCCCGTATGCTCTTCTGTAAAGAGTCTCGAGATAACACTTGTTATGAATTGGCGCTGTACAAATAACGATTGATTGATTGTTTGCAGCATCCAGGCTGAGGGCTGACACTCAGTATCCAGCGTGACCTCAGCCTACCATGACGTTAGCCTCTATTCACTCTGACATAATAAGCCATACAATATATTACTATATCTACTGTCATTTGCAAGTTTATAAGCATACATTTGCACAGTTTTGAAAAGAGCTATCGTGTAGAAATAAAATAAGTAGGGTTGTCAACATTAATAAGTTAATCATGATTAATCTCATGTTATTTTGTCCCTTTATGCTCACCGTAGATAGTCCTCCTCCGTGTCTCCCTGTTGTCACAGGCTGTGTCTGAAATCACTCATTCCCTCCTCACTCTGTAATGAGTTATATGTAGTGGACTCAATCGTGCACTCACTCAGCAAAATTCAAAAACATTTTAGATGCTACTCGCTCACTCTGTTGTCGTGCAACTAAAACATGCGTCTTAGCAACGGCCGAGATCAATACTAGATAACTTAAGTTATACTGACAACTCACAAAACATTTACAAATAATAAGTAAATATAAAATATTGAATTAGAGATATAATGGAACTAATTTCTTCACGCTCACAGACTCTGGTCTCGTGTCTGTCTTCATCATCAGGACAAACTACTGTCAATAACGTTAACCATCTTTGACTCTTTATTTAAACTGATCCTAGATTTCATTCAAAATGCTCCAAATATGAACTTTGTTGTGTTTCTGTGTTGACGCTCCTGTTGTCCATCTGAGAGCAGACGAGTCAAACGGCAACCTCTGCTCGTAAAAATCTTTGAACCGCAATGCATGATGGTACACATTGCTCGGATAGCGACCATTGGCTGTACACTACTTTTCACAATGCACTCTGGGATACATTGACTGGACTATATAGGGTATGATCTTGTTCACTCAGAATTCAGGCAGCACTACAAAATGGTATGGTCACAATATAGTGCAGTATATAGTGAATAGGGAGTGATGTAAAAGAAGGACACTGCTGCATCTTTGAATGTCTCATTTCACTTTAACAAACTCTCAGACAGCTCAGCTGATGAGTCCAAAGTAATATCCACCTGATGACATCACACATTGACCTTATGACATCAAACATTGACCTTTGTTACCGTTCCTTTGAGCTGTTTGACCTCACTTTGGGATCCCTAACCACTTCCTGTTTCTTTGCTCAACTTCATGTCCTAACCTTCCATCTACAGGAAGGGCCTTACTGTATTTCAAAATAAAAGCAGACAGGAAGCTAAGTTCTCTCAGCTTAAGACAGGACAGAAAATCAAAATAAAAGCGTAACTATTTTATTTTTAAATGCAAAATAATGGAATTTCAAACATGAGTTTAAAAACGTGAATAATCGTGATTAATTATTGAAATTTAGCAATTGATTGCAATAAGAAATATAATATGTAAAAACCTTAAAATTAAAAGTTATTGTTCATTGAGCAAATCAACATAAACTAGTACATAAATCATTAAAAATAATCATTTTTTGGCATTACATAAGAGACTGTATTGGCATTTTATATACCATTGCTATGTAAGCTAACATAACTGGTCCGTGTTCAATTCATTTGCAGTAGTTCATGTTTCCACAGTTTCCCAGTTTGGGATCAATAAAGTAATTCTATTCTAGTCTATGTTGTATAATGAAACATGCCAGTTTAAGGGGTATTGCCTATTTTCATTGTCCGACTTGGCGAATGCTTATATATGTTGACGCACGTTAACTCATTCCCTCACAGCCGACTCAGCCTAACACGTAACAGCACGTGAGCGTTATACGTCGCGTCGTGCATGATCACACGCTCGCTGTCTGCATGCTCGCTGTCCACACTACATCCATTAAATATTGAATTCTCTGCTCTGTAAATTTAACGAACCCTACAACATGAACTACTTCAAATAAATTATACTTCGTACATGGACCATGACTGAAACTTTATTAATAAACGTCACTCTTCTTCTCCAGTCAAGGTCGGGTTAGTCACAGTGGTCTCTGTCCAGTCAAGGTCGGGTTAGTCACAGTGGTCTCTGTCCAGTCAAGGTCGGGTTAGTCACAGTGGTCTCTGTCCAGTCAAGGTCGGGTTAGTCACAGTGGTCTCTCTTCAAGGACGACTGCTATAGTCAGTTGTTACTCTCCAGTGAAGGTTGGGTTTTGGACAGTGGTGGTTGCATCTTTGAATAGAGGGTTGTCAGCCTGCCAACAGAAAAAGTCCAACCATAAATGTTTCAATAACTTTTTTTCAGTTCACTAAATTATAAAAAATAACATTATATTAAAAAAGCAAAGTTAAAATCCACACACTCTAACTAATACTCAGTGTTTCCAGCATAATTTGGAGGAAGGTGTACTAGGGCTTGTTTCCAATAAAGGTGTTTTTTTTTAAACAGCCTTCCATCAGTGAACATTGTTGTCCTAGCATTCTTATAGCTGTATCATGGATGTGGCTGAAACAACTTAGAATGCTTACTGTGATCACCATCCTAACAGCCAAAACAAATTAATTTCACCTGTGACCTGGCAGAGGAGGGACTGAACAGATTGGCTATCCATCAGTTAGTAATCCAGGGCCAGAGACTTACAATCAGGCACACCTTTAAGTATTCTGCACAGTCCAAAGTGGCAGTGCTAAAGATTTGAGGAATCCTGCAGCTCACTTTCAACCTGAGACTTTTAATATCAAAGTTCCTTAATAGATGTTAATGGCAGACAGCAGGAGGACAACAGCGTCCTGAGGATAACACATCTGCAGCACCTCTGAATATTAGGATGTTGTGATTGTGGGATGACAAACAGAGGCCGCTCTACTTCCACAGGCTTAGGGACTGCAACATCTACAAAAGTACCCTGCAGAGATTCTAACAGCTGTCAGAGGAAAGGGTCATCTTGTAATAGAAATATAATAAACAATCTCACCTCTGCCCACTTGGATTTCTTCTTTTCATTTTCAAACTTCTTGTACTCTTTAAGATCCTTAAAGTAGATGAGGGACTTGATGAGCATCAGTAGCAGGATGCCAATCAGGGCAACAGAAGCAACAGCCGCTGAGATGATGGCTATGACATTGGGCGGTTCTGGACAGTCTGGAGAAAGAAGGGAAAACATTCAAAATGCTAAGTATGTTTTGTTTTTTTTCTGATACCTCGCCCCAACTTAACTCAGATCATCTTATCTCTGCTTCTTATCTATCTTTGCTTTATTTCTTCACTTGCTTTTATTCATTCTTCTTCCAAAGATAACAGGTATGTTGATCTCACTGCATAGTACACACCTCTGTCCAGTTGTAATCAGTTGTAACTCTGCATATCACACAGTTTGTATCAGACAAGGGTTAGGGGGGTTAGGGTCAATCTCTCCGATTTTAAGATTTTCTTCCCTGGGCGTTTTTTTTTTAAATACCGTACCTGCAAACTTACATTAGCTTCAGCTGCACGCTGATCAATCATGGTAAAAATGAAAGCTGCTGATAGAAGTATCTTATTGTCATTATAAGCATGCTCACTTCACTTGTTAGCATTAGGCTAATGGCATGCTGGATCTGTCTAAACAGTAGAACAGGTCCCATCTTGATTTTCAGAGTTAGCTCACCTCTCTGAGACAGAATCTCTGCCTTGTAGTTATCCTCTCCGATTAACTGATGCAGTCTGAATTTGATCCAGCAGCCCTCGGAGTCCTTGTGCTGGCACTGTTTGCTAGTTATGGTGAATTGTTCAACCTTCTCAGAAGTGATGCTGCTGCAGGCCACGCTGCAGTTCTTCTTAAAGGCTCCAGACTCAAAGCCCTGGCATTCGATGCAGTTCCTGAAAGAGGATTTAAAAACACTTATACTCAGGCCGGGTTGGTCTGGGGGGTCTTGTTCTAACTTTTCCATCAGAGGTTTCTTGTAACACCTTTGATAATAATTTGAAAATAGAAGCATGATGTTTCAGAGGTGCTCACACTTTGGTCTGACAGGGGTCGGGACACCCGAAGCAGTCCCGGCACAGTGGTCGCTGGTATCCCTCGTTACACTCGCAGTGGTTACACCTGCACTTTCCTCTGCCGAAGCACACTGTCTTGTTGGCGGTTTTACATTCTTCTTCAGACTTTTTACACTGACAGGCAGTGCCCTCGTAGTCTGTGCTGCATTTACATATCCCACAGTCGCATCTCCCGTTTCCTACCAGGTGACAGATAAGAGCAGGGGTCATCAGCTACATCTGTAAAAGGGGCCAGCTTTCTTTCTTGACAGACACTTTGGGGGCGGGCTTTAAAACAAGCTTGTTGTACATAAGTCTGACAGCTGTGAAACCCAATGTGAAGAAGATGGTGTAACCCAATGCGAATGTTTCAGCCTTGTGATTTTATTTTAATATTTATTGTTTAATCACTAGGGCTGCCGGATGTAAGCCCCGGGCGACCAGTTGATGATCACTGGTGAAGAGGGAACGTGTTCCTATATGTGTTCATACCTGTTTTTGTGTGTGAAAGAAGTATTTTATAATTGAATATCTACCTCCACACAGCTTGTTCTGGAACTTCTCACAGTGTTCGTTGTCACACTCGCAGTATTTCCCGTAGTAAGTGCCTCCATTCTTGGTGTTGTGACACTTACAGCGACCACACTCACAGTCTCCTCGGCCCTCGCACTCCGTGCCGTTCTCCCTCCGACAGAAAGCTCGCAGCGATTCCTCGTCTTTATCTCCAATCGAACAGTTACAGAACTGACCGACGAAGCCTTCATTACAGCTGAAGACAAAACATCACTTAGGGTTAGGCTGAATATTTTATTAAAATTATATATTTATTTTATTTATATCAGTAAATCAAATTTAGAATGTTTTGTAACAATTTATGAATTATTAGAAGAAAAGTGAGAAGGTGAGAAAAGTGAGAACACAAGGCTTTAATAAGGCAGTTTTTTCTTACCACTGTAACTTTTGCTGCTTTGCTAAAGTGCTCATGATGGATAGGCCGGATCTTTGTAACATAACAATGAGTAAGGTCTTTTACCTGCTTTATGTAACATAACAATGAGTAAGGTCTTTTACCTGCTTTTTGTAACATAACAATGAGTAAGGTCTTTTACCTGATTTTTGTAAAGTGTCTTGAGATAACACTTGTTATGAGTTGACGCTATACAAAATAAATTGAATTGAATTGAATTGAGGGTTAGGGATACAGAAGGTTGACTTCTTAGTCCTTTACAGACACTTTAAAAAAAATGTGTGATCTTATTACATTTTTTGGTTCAAATTAAAGTCAATCATTTATATATTTATGTATATTTATGTATACAGGTACATATATATATATATAATATTTAGTAGTCATTTTTTTCCTTTCAGTCTGTGAGCTCGCTGCATCTCTTCCATCATTTTCTTTGACATTTTTAAGCACTGATAAAATCGAACATTTATAAATGGTCATAATTTGTAAAGAAGTTTGAACCCATGTAGACATAGTGACTCTCACCTGCAAATCCCACAGGTGACTCGTCCTTTATGTGAGCAGTGGTCTTGGTCTGTCTTTAACGAGTCATCACAGTGACACTCGCATTCTGTAGTTAAAGTCACAGTCAGAGTGTCTTTGATTCCCAGAGGTCTGATCGTGAAACTTTTCTCCGTCATGCAGGAGTCCGCTGTTACCGTGACGTTAAACATAATCTGCAGAGAGCAGAGTGAAAAAAATGAAGGGTTAGGGGTTATGTTTGAACAGAACAGGGTTAGAGGTTATGTGTGAACAGAGGATAGTTATTCAACATCCATTTCAAATCTTGAGATGTATTTTTTTTAACTTCTTTTATTTTATTCCCAAATGAAACTCATCACCAATTTAGTAAACTCTAAGCCACTTAACTTTTCCATAAAGTCAATTAAAAAAAACATGTTGTTTAACCAATGAAATATCATGGTCGGCCCTCCTCTAGTCGAACAATGACTTGTTGTCAACGAGGATAGCCTCGTAGCTCCACATGAAAAATGTATTTGTGAAAAGTGTTTTTTAATGAACTTTCAGGAAATCAGAGTTTCTTTATGGAAGTTTAGAAGGAAACTTTTCATCTGGAATGACATTTAAGGTAGACTGTAACTCCTCCTATCAAATTAAACATATGTTTAGGACATTTTTTTATACGTCCTTCTCTTTGATCAATTCGACCACTTTACTGTGAAGTTATTTTTCAATGTTTCCCATCATAGAACATCTCCATGCCTCCTGCTAGGGTCACATGTCTTTACTTAAATTATGACAGTGATTATTCCAGACAAAATTAAAATTCAAAGTGTAAATCTTCTGGAGAGCAGACCGTCACATTTCCGATTAGTCTGACACAAACTACGAGGTCCTTTAGAATGAAGCCCCCAAAATGAGACACAGCTATCAACATGATAAGTTTTTAACTTACTTCCTGTCCCACAGGCACGTTGTCACAAACTCCTTCGCTGCCCCCTGCTGGTCCAGCGTTAGGACATATAGGGGTGTACACGACCCTGACGTCATCAGGCAGATTATCGTGGGTCAGAGTAACTTTGGAGGACAGCCTCTGTATTAACGACACAGTCAGACAGAATGATGTCTTAAACAATGAACAACAGTGAAATAAATAGATGACATAAACATGAAAACATAATGTTACTTTGTACGCTGCTTCAATCAGCTCAACCACGTTTCGAGAATCTGATGACAGAACTCCGACCTCAGATTTAGGAATCATTTTGGAGAGTTGCTGCCATAACACAGAAAAATGAAGCAGAGTGAGCATAAATGTGGACTCGAAAGAAAAACAGTAAACTCATGAATGAAAGTTAAAATGCATTCACCTGGTACACTGTCACCACTTCATTTGTTACTGCAAATATCGGCTGAATGTTGTTTTTTCCAAGCTGCATGGCGAGCTGTCCCACAGAAGGATAATCCTGCACGACATTCAATAAATCAGACAAATCCTGTAGTATGCTGATAAATCTGATTATGAAGCATTTTAGTTTCACGCCTGAACAAAATGTTTATTGATGAGTCATCATGTTGAGATGAGATAAATATGACAGAACATTACAAACCTTTCTTGGAATCTGTACTCACCATATGACTGCTCTGGGTGTAGAGATTGTTCTTCATGTGACATTTCTCGTCGTTTGGCTCCAGGATACCGGCCAGTTTACCGTCTCCCGCCATGTGGAAACCAGCATCTGTTGTCAGAACAATGAGCCGAGTGCTGCTGTTCCTCCAACCGATAACATCCTTATCGATCAAATGGATAAATAAATCAATAAAAACAACAAGAGGAAAGAAATTGGAATTTGATTACACTCTAGATTGTTTGATTGATCGACCGACTGACCGAATTATTGATTTATTAATGTATTGATTTATTAATTTATTGATCGATCGATCAAAGGGATTGATGGTTGACTTGATTGACTTATTTAGTGAGTGCTTGTGGTCTCACCCGGCACACGGCAGCCTGCATCATGGCGTCCAGACTTCCCTCAGGAATGTCCAGGTTTCCAGAAATGAACTGCTCGTTAACCTTCTGTCTGAAGTCTTTCTCGCTTGCTGTCAGACTGAGGACATGTCTGTAGCCAAAGGCGGCCTGACACTGCTGGTAGTCCTCATCACACGGTTTCTGCAGCTTCTCCTCGTTGGTGTTGGTGAATGGCAGGACGGTTTTATCCACGAAGGCTCCAAACCCTAAAAAGTGTAATTTAAGAGTTTTAATCCTGAAGACAAAATTGTATTAAAAGCAGTACTCCAGACTTAAGCCCTTACATTAAACCCAAAAGGTGATGAAGGAGCAGGCTGCCTCTGCTTTCTGTTTTATCTCTGAAATAAGATCTTTATACATGACAAAAATAACAAATTTTATTAATTAAAAATATACATTACATATCATTTTGTAAAATGATTGATCATGGAAACTTCCTGACCAGGAAGTTTAGTGTCATATTTATATTTATTGTTAGTCCTTCCTCTATTAAAGTCATTGATGAGAAAAAAATCCTTATTATCAAACAGATTAACCCCAACCATGGAAACTAAACCTCCTTATTAACGTCTGCTGTCTAACCCATGGGAACTAAACCTATATATAGGATATTTTGGCTTCATGTTTAGAGGCTGCATTGTCCATTTGTATATACAGTCTACTGTCAGACAATATCTCTGTCAAAACAAACATACAATGAATTAATTCAAAATGAATTTATGATATAAATGTAGTTCAATCTATATAAAGTTATGTTAAAATAGTCTTCTTGTTTCACCTTTGACCTTTGTATAACTGGCATATATAATTTAAATACCAGGTTGTATTCACTGAAACACAACACAAAATAACAACTGTAACTTATAGCTGTAATCTGAAATGTAGTTAAATATTAAATATTACCTATTTGAGCATGTTCGGTGAATTGTTTTAGAGCTCCAAAAAGATTTTTTCCCAATTCTTTGACATTTTTCAGGTCGTCTTTCATGGAGTAAGATAAATCCATCAGGTAGTAGAGATCAACGGGATAACCTTCTACTCTTTTAAATGACACACTGAACGTCTCGGAGAGTCCTACAAACATAAAAGATCAAAACAACAACATCGGAAAAAGTCAACAACGTCAGATGAGATCCTAAAAACACAACAGATTCCCTCTTTAGTCCTTATTTAAACAAATCAATGTTTATATAAAATACATCAATGTTATTAAAGGTCATTATGAAGCCACTGCACAGACCCGGTCTCAGACTCAGTCGGATCTTCTGGGGACTCAGCTGGACTGGCTCCTGCTGGTTGAACCGGGAGGAGAGGGCCTCTTCCTTTTCAACATCCAGGAAATTTTTCGGAAATACGATTTCTCCGCTACTGCAGCCTTTTGCTATTAACTTCGCTTTGGTGTTGCAGCGAACAGCTTCCTGCTCACCAGCGTTGGTGAAGTTCTGCAGAAACAGAGCGAGACATAAGAATTCTGTTTTATTACACGGTACACGTATAATAAGTTCATATAAAACTTGTCCCATTAAGTTTAGAATTATTGATGAACATTAGTTGAAAAGAAAAAAGTGTGCGGCGTTTAAGCGACAGAAGCTTAATGATTAAATGTAGTAGTGTCATAAATAGAAACAGTCTATCTGCTCAGCTGATTGGTTGAAATGTTTCTTATAAAACTGAAAGCCAACATGCAGGAAGAAGAGTCTTCACGAAGAGGGAAGTGAAGAGTGTCCGGCCGGGTTTGTTCTGCACTGAGGTAAATAAAACTGAATCATCTACACAGTGTGTACAGTGCACAGCAAACCCTTATCATTGTGCTTTAATATTATCAATAGCATTCTTCTAAAACTAAGACAATAACGATTGAATCCAGAAATATATCATGATGAAAAGTGAACTACCAAAGGTCACATCTCTAGGTGCTGATCTACATCATTCATTTATAAGTCAGAGGGAGATCATCAACGTCCAACGATGTTCTGTTTCAGAGAAACTTTCCTTCAGTCTGGATTACTGCAACGCACTTTTCAACTTAACTACCCCTCCACCAGGAAACACTAAGCCAAACCCCCCCAGGACTAAGCTCTGCACAGTGGAGGATCGGGCCACCCCACGGCTGTGGAATGCACTCCCTGACCACCTGAGGGCGCCACAGACTAATGAAACACTTACAAAGGACTGAAACCATTCTTCTTTTGAAGCTTCTGATCCTTTAACTAAACTGTCCTGTTTTGTGCTTTATATTCTTGTTTTTAAATGAAGCACTTTGATAGTTGTTTAAAATGAAAAGTATGTTTTACAAAAACTACTATTATTATCATTATCCATATGTTTTATTTGAAACCATTTTACTGTTTGTGAAATCAAGTTTAAAAGTTTTAATCATAGTCAAGATCCTTCAAACGTGGGGCGCGCTAGTGGCGCAATGGTTAGGGGGCGCGTCCCATGTATTGAGACTCTCGTCTCGAGCGGTAGGCCCGGGTTCACTTCCACCCGTGGCCTCTTTCCACATGTCGTTCCCCGCTCTCTCTCTCTGGTTTCAGACTCTATCCACTGTCCTCTCTCTCCCTGGTTTCTGACTCTATCCACTGTCCTCTCTCTCTCTGGTTTCTGACTCTATCCACTGTCCTCTCTCTCTCTCTGGTTTCTGACTCTATCCACTGTCCTCTCTCTCTCTGGTTTCTGACTCTATCCACTGTCCTCTCTCTCTCTCTGGTTTCTGACTCTATCCACTGTCCTCTTTCTCTCTCTGGTTTCTGACTCTATCCACTGTCCTCTCTCTCTCTGGTTTCTGACTCTATCCACTGTCCTCTTTCTCTCTCTGGTTTCTGACTCTATCCACTGTCCTCTCTCTCTCTCTGGTTTCAGACTCTATCCACTGTCCTCTCTCTCTCTGGTTTCAGACTCTATCTCTCTCTCTGGTTTCAGACTCTATCTCTCTCTCTGGTTTCAGACTCTATCCACTGTCCTCTCTCTCTCTGGTTTCAGACTCTATCCACTGTCCTCTCTCTCTCTGGTTTCTGACTCTATTCACTGTCCTCTCTCTCTCTCTCTGGTTTCTGACTCTATCCACTGTCCTCTCTCTCTCTCTCTGGTTTCAGACTCTATCCACTGTCCTCTCTCTCTCTCTGGTTTCAGACTCTATCCACTGTCCTCTCTCTCTGGTTTCAGACTCTATCCACTGTCCTCTCTCTCTCTGGTTTCAGACTCTATCCACTGTCCTCCCTCTGCATTAAAGGCACAAAAAGCCCCCCAAAAAAGATCTTTCAAACGTGTTAACAAACAACTAAACGAAAATATTTCACCATTTCAAAAAAAGAACAAACATCCTCACTGAGATCCTGTAGGTGGTGTCACACAATATGATGATGTCAAATCTGCCAGCATGTTAACTCCTCAAACAAGCTGAATTGTTTAAAACCAAATTAAGGTTGCTTTAAAAGTCCAACCAGTGAGCTGTGTAGAGAGTGAGATGATAAAGGTATCTTACTCTCTGATCATTAAGGAAACATGCTATGTTGAAGTGCTGGCTTCTCTGACAACAATGCAGCAGCCAGTATGTCCTCCTTCTAACTTTAGATTCTGCTCCTGAATGCTCTGGATTTGTTTGGACCAGAGAAGGTAGGCGCTTTTAAGACCCCCCCCCCACGGCCGTTTTGGACGCCCCTCAGTTTGTCAGATATGAGAGCAGTTATCAGGTCAACAGGTGTTGCAGTGATGGAAGCGGGCAAGAGAAGTGGTTCAGATAGAAGTGATTGTACCCGACCTAAAAAGCCTCTGCATGTTTCTAATAAGCTTGAATAAGCATGATTGTTGGTGTATTTACAGTCGGTGTTATGTGTACTGTTTACTGAAACTGATTCTCACCAGCTGTTTGCACCACACACAGAAGGGTCCAGATTGGATACAGTCGTTGCAGGAGTTGATTAAAGTCTTGGAACATACCTCCTCTTGTTGAAACGACCCTGTTATGTGAGAAGGGTTATTTTGAATTTTCCTCAACAGAAAATTAATGAATTTGGTGGATTAATATCTTCAGTTATTATACCAACTCTTTTTTTACAACAAGAAAAAGGAAGAATGTCAATTTTCTCCAGATAATCTGTAAAAAAAAAATGCAACCTTCTGATTCATTTAGCCATGATTAACTTTCATAAACCATGTGGGACTTTTAGTTTTCAGTTATTAGATGAATGTATTTCAGACCATTAAAGATGTTAACTGACAATAAAAACCTGGTTTAAGCTACGTTTGTTACTAGATATATTTTAAATGCTGTACTACCCATCAAGAACATTACTCTCCCAGAATGCAGGCCTGCTCGTGGTACCTACGGTCTCTAAATGTATTATGGGAGGTAGAGCCTTCAGTTATCAGGCCTGCTCGTGGTACCTACGGTCTCTAAATGTATTATGGGAGGTAGAGCCTTCAGTTATCAGGCCTGCTCGTGGTACCTACGGTCTCTAAATGTATTATGGGAGGTAGAGCCTTCAGTTATCAGGCCTGCTCGTGGTACCTACGGTCTCTAAATGTACTATGGGAGGTAGAGCCTTCAGTTATCAGGCCTGCTCGTGGTACCTACAGTCTCTAAATGTACTATGGGTGGTAGAGCCTTCAGTTATCAGACCTGCTCGTGGTACAGTCTCTAAATGTACTATGGGAGGTAGAGCCTTCAGTTATCAGGCCTGCTCATGGTACCTACAGTCTCTAAATGTACTATGGGAGGTAGAGCCTTCAGTTATCAGGCCTGCTCGTGGTACCTACAGTCTCTAAATGTACTATGGGAGGTAGAGCCTTTAGTTATCAGGCCTGCTCGTGGTACAGTGTCTAAATGTACTATGGGAGGTAGAGCCTTCAGTTATCAGGCCTGCTTGTGGTACAGTGTCTAAATGTACTATGGGAGGTAGAGCCTTCAGTTATCAGGCCTGCTCGTGGTACCTACAGTCTCTAAATGTACTATGGGAGGTAGAGCCTTTAGTTATCAGGCCTGCTCGTGGTACAGTGTCTAAATGTACTATGGGAGGTAGAGCCTTCGGTTATCAGGCCTGCTCGTGGTACAGTGTCTAAATGTACTATGGGAGGTAGAGCCTTCAGTTATCAGGCCTGCTCGTGGTACCTACGGTCTCTAAATGTACTATGGGAGGTAGAGCCTTCAGTTATCAGGCCTGCTCGTGGTACCTACGGTCTCTAAATGTACTATGGGAGGTAGAGCCTTCAGTTATCAGGCCTGCTCGTGGTACCTACAGTCTCTAAATGTACTATGGGAGGTAGAGCCTTCAGTTATCAGGCTCCTCTCATATGGAATCATCTTCCAGCTGGGGTACGAGAGGCAGACACACTCTGTACTTTTCAGAATATACTTTAAACTTTCCTTTTTGATAAATCTTATAGTAATGGCTGGCGCTGGTGTAGACCAGCTCCTAGTTATGCTGCTATAGGCTTAGATTACCAGAGGAACTGGCAGCTTGAGCTCCTCTCTCTCTCTCTCTGCACTATATTACTGCATGTCACTATCTGTAAATCGCAGTTACTAACCACATCTTTTACTGGGAGCTCCTGTTAGGTTCCTTGGGACCGTTGGTGGATGGCCTGCCTGTACAATCAACAACCCCCCCTTGAACCTGCATTTGCACAAGATTTCTGCCTCTTAAAAGGCAGTTTTTTCTTACCACTGTAACTTTTGCTGAAATGCTCATGATGGATTAAGCTGGGTCTTTGTAATATAGCAATACATATGGTCTTATTACCTGCTCTTTTGTAATACTTAATAACAAAGAGTAAGGAAATGGGAAGACAATCTGACCTTTGAGGGAAGGGAGGGTTGTTCCCATTCAAGATTCAAAATGTTTATTGTCATGTGCGCAGTAGGAAACATGTTTCCCTGTACAATGAAATTCTTTCTTTGCTGTCCACAATGAATGCCAACAATAAAATATTAAAATTAAACGTAACCAAATAATAACATCATTGGTTAATCTCTGTATAATTGTTGTTCCTTTATTGAGTGAATGGTGTCAATATAAATGTGATCACAAAAAATCTATAGATAGAATATTAATTAATATGAATATATCAATGTAAATGTTTCATCAATGCTGCTGTTCCCCTAATAATTAGTTTACTTACCATTTCTAGCCATCAACAGCAGGAGAAGAACCAGTCCGCAGGGATCCATGTCCTAAAGACAAACAAACAGACCTTCAGTTACCTGTGGAGCTCGGACCAGAACCCTGAAAGAGTCTCTGCTCTTTAAATAATACGACCATCATTTTAATAAGCCCTTAAAGTAGTAAATAAATCATGTCACGTAAGAATCTGACATGACGTGAGAGTTTAAAGAATATGAAAGTCTTTCTTGTCTTTTCAGAAACAGGAGGAAGTTCCTTCTTTTAGATCTAGTTTGATAAATTGTGATCAACGTTGGATTATTCATAAATATAATGAGGCGTTATTAGTAAAAGTGAATCTAGTGTAAAATAACCATGATGGAGTTTAGTTAAAATGTGAAGTCTGATGTGAACATTTAAATCATACAACCTGACATCATTCAAATTCATCACGTTCATTTAGATAACATGTGCAAGTAAAAAAAAAGACAAAATACTTCAACGAACACAATGACAGATAGGATGTAAACCAGTGCAAGGGTATGTCAGTGATTCCAATGGAGGCTAGTCTGTCAAGGAGGATGTAATGAGAGATGGTGTCAAAGGCTGCATTCAGATCAAGGAGGATAAGGATGGTTAAAAGTCTGGAGTCAGTTGCCATTAGTAGGTCATTAATGATTTTTGAAGTGATTGTGAAGTTCGCGGACGACAGAACAGTGGTTGGTCTCATCTCCAACAACGATGAGACGCACTACAGGATGGAGGTCAGCCAACTGGCCACGTGGTGCAGAGACAACAACCTCTTCCTGAACGTCGACAAGACCAAGGAGGTTGTTGTCGACTTCCGGAGAGTCCCCACTCCTAAACCCCCACTGACCATCGACGGTGCTGCTGTGGAGAGAGTGAGCAGCACCAAGTTCCTGGGGGTTCACATCAGTGAGGATCTCTCCTGGACAACCAACACCACATCACTGGCCAAGAAGTCCCAGCAGCGCCTCTACTTCCTCCGCAAGCTGAAGAGAGCACGAGCCCCCCCATCCATCATGTGCTCCTTCTACAGAGGCACCATCGAGAGCATCCTGACCAGCTGCATCACTGTGTGGCTTGGGAGCTGCACTGCTGCCAACCGCAAGACCCTGCAGCACACAGTGAAGGCTGCTGAACGGATTATCGGTGTCCCACTCCCCTCTCTTCTGGACCTCTACGGTACCCGCCTCACCCGCAAAGCAACCAGCATTGTGCGTGACCCCACCCACCCCTCACACAGCCTCTTCAGCCTCCTGCAATCGGGGAGACGGTAGCGCAGCCTGCGGGCCGGCTCCACCAGTCTGGGAAACAGCTTCTTCCACCAAGCTGTCAGGAAGCTTAACTCTCTCCACTCTCTTCCTTCCCTCCCCTCTGCCCCCACGAACACTGGACGTTGAACCCCCTCCCGTTTACCACCAAGAACTCTGGACTAATATTTCTGAAGCTAACATCTCAAAAGTACACTCAGTTTACTGCACATTGCTCAAGTTTACAAAACTCTGGACTAATAACTCTGAAGCTAACTTTTCAAAAGTACAATCAGTTCACTGCACATTGCACATATTGCACAATTTTACTTTTGCTTTAAATTTTATTTTATTTTATTTACCATTTTGTACCTTTTGCACAATTTAGAATTTATTACTGTAAATATTATTTATCTTATTTTTACTTCATTTTATTTTATCTGTTTTGCCTTATCTTATTTTACCTTACTTTAGTTGTATTGCACCGCGGGATGGAGACAAACGCAATTTCGATTCCACTGTATGTCTGGCATATTTTGAAATTGACAATAAAGTTGACTTTGACTTTGACTTTGATTTTTACCAGTGCTGTCTCTGTGCTATGGAGGGGGCAGAAACCAGACTGGAATTGTTCATAAAAGTTATTGTCAGACAAATGAGTGTGAACTTGACCCTCAACAGCTTTCTGGAGAAATTTGGATAGGAAGGTAGATTAGAGATAGGACAAAAGTTATTGAAGTCATTTGGGTCTGCAGCAGGTTTCTTAAGTATAGGGATTATTGAAGCTGACTTGAAAGAAATGGGAACAAGACCAGAGGTGAGGGAGGAATGTATGATGACCATTATTAGGGAAGACAGAGGGGGTAGGCAAGCTTTTACTAGGACAGTAGGAAGAGGGTCTAATGGACAGGTAGATGGTTTTGATTTCTGAATGAGGTCAGATATTTCAGCAACAGAAGGAAGTTTGAAACTTGGAAGAGAGCGAGAGAGAGGAGGTAAGAAGACTGGGAGAGATGAGATGTTAGGAGTCAGTTGCTGGTGAAACTTGTCTACTTTGGCAGTGAAAAATGACATTAAAGAGTTACAATAGGCGGTGGAAAACAAATGAGAAGCAAGAGAGTCCGGTGGTCGTAGTATGTTGTTGACGATGGAGAATAGTGTCCTTGTATTCCCTTCACCTGAGCTGATGATACCTGCGTAGTGAGTTGATTTAGCTGTAGAGAGACTGTCCTTGTAGTGGAGAATGTGGTTATTGTACATTTCTCTGTGAATAAGAAGTCCAGTTTTCTTGTAGAGACGTTCCAGGCGACGGCCTTTTGTTTTGAGTAGGCGAAGTTCAGGTGTAAACCATGGAGCAGAGTGGGTGAATGAAACAGTCCGGGTTTTTAAAGGAGCCAGGGTATTTAAGAGGCTATGCAGACCCTCATTGTAATGAGAAACCAGTTCATCGGGGGTGGATAAACAGTTTATGCTAGGGAAGCTGTCAATGCCACTGGAGTTAACCTCCTCATGTTGTGATATGAAATGAAACGTGGCAGATTTTTTTGAGGTAGTCTAAGTTTGACATTGAAAGATATTAACATGTGATCAGAAATGGGAAGGACATCTGCAGTGCAATCAAGAGGAGTGACGCCAGAGCAGCAGATTAAGTCCAAAACATGTCCTTTGGAGTGAGTAGAAAAATCGATTTGTTGCTACAATCCAAAGCTCATAATGCAAGCTGTAAAGTCCTTAGTCAAGGCATTGTTAAAATGATCTTACAGTAATATTATGGAAGGGCAGTTGCAGGAGCTCAGAGGCTGTGCAACAGAGTAATGCTGCCGACGGATTGAAAATCAAGGACAGGGCAGTCCAGACGAGCACAGACCATACAATGCCAATGATGGACTAGATAAGGGCTCCAGGGAGCGGAAGCAGCTAGGTGAGGAGTAGGAGCCCTGCACGCAATAGGTAGGCTAATACTAGGCTGAATACAATCACCAGATAATCTAATTGTTTGGCAGTATGTCCAGGTTAGAAAACAACAGTGCAAAAGTCCGTTTATAAGTTAAAAACAGGAAAAGAGTCTAGAGAGCAGCGGCAGCTAAATACTTCAGCTTTCACTCAACTGGAACCAGGTTGACTAACCCTAACCCTACATGTAAAAGTTGTGGTGTTCCTTTGTGTGAAACATCCACCCACTGTGTTACCTAAAAGTAACCCAGAACATGAACACACAGCTTCCTGCACACACACGCTTCTCTGTTGACACACAACCACACTGACACATACTCTTTTCTGTTGATACCATACAAGGTAAAAGTGAACAGTTGACTGTTGTGACAGAATCATTTCCTCTTTAAGAGCTCAGAGAAGAACAGACCTTTTTTAGTTTCTTCTTTAATGTCGCTTCTGGCTACAACACCACCATGATGAACCATTATAAAACACCATGCACCATTATAAAACACTACCATGCACCATTATAAAACACCACCATACATGTATTAAAGCTGTTACTTGGTATGGATCATGAGGACTGTTGTTGATGTAGCAGGACTATTTGTGTCCTGAAGAGAACATTCAACCCTCAAACGGGAAGAAACATAAATCACAAAGACGTGTTTGTCTGTCAATGTTCTGACAGATGTGTGGATTGT